AAAAAGAACATTGCCTCTTACCAACACAGTCTACAATGGTGCACAACCTGTGAGTTTGGATCTTAGGCCTTGAAATTGCCTGATTTTCTACACATTTAAAAAGAAACCTCAAATGTATTAATGATGCGCAACAAACTGATAAAATGACATTCATATAGTAAGTGCCATCATTTTTCAATAAACTTCACAGCAAATGTAGTGTACACACACATTACAGAAAACAAAAAGGTACAAGCACTTGCTTGTTTAAAAGGTAACAGGAAATGACAAAAACACACACACACACACACACACACACACACACACACACACACACACACACAATTGAAGGGTAATGACTGACCTCTTAAAGCTAACTACAGAGTCAACTCAAAGTTGTATCACATGTCCTATTTGCCATTACAATTCTTAGTTGTAAGTGACATGTATTTTAGCTTTGTGAATTGATCCTTATATATGCCAGAGGAAAGTGATGTATGAGGCCTGGAGGAGGGCACTCCCAGAATTTGGGGACTTTAAAAAGTATACTCATTGTGGGCTGCCATTGCTGACTTGCATCTGAAATGTTATAGTACTGAATAGTACTTTGATACTAGGCCAGTAACCTGGTACAAGTAAAGAAATAAAGAATCCCAACTTTTCCCTGACTTCTGACTATTAGTGATCATAAGCCGGCAAGATCAATGGAAGACCATATTAGGGCACTTGAATGTTGTTGGAGATTTTGGAACATTTCTGCATTTCACAATAGTTCCTTTCTACAAAATACACCTACATCCTCCATGTGTCTAATGTTGGCCAGGACTGAAATTGGAGAGTTTATTTATCATCTATTGTGTGTGTGTTTGTAAATTAGGGCTGCAACCAACTAATCGATAATAATGGATAATGAGAATAGACTGGGGAAGGGGAAGTACCGGAAGAGAGTACATATCTAGCAGAGAGAAGAACACGAATGGTATATCCAATGAGTGGTGGTAATCCCCTTGGTAGAACCTGGTCACTCCAGAGCAAGCAGGCCAGGGGTATAGGGGAATAAGTAATGATTTTTTTAAAGCATAATGTTTTTTGTTGTAACTTCACATGGGGTTGTTGAGTATTTAAAGTACGGTGATTAGTGGCGAGCTGGATTGTATCAGTTTTCATGCAGTCCCGATGCTGTATCGTCCCATCCATGAGGTGGGAACAATCAGCAGCTTTTGCATGGGAGTTGGCCATGACATGGTTAAGTAGGGGACAGGATGCAATCCACCTCCCAACTGCGGTAGCTACTTTTGTTCCCCATGGTCCCTTAGATCCTCTCTGGCTACGTTTGCTCCCCATGGTCCTCAGATCATCTCTGAATTCATGCTGACACTGTCCTTCCTTCTGGAGGGGTGGCTACTTTTGTTCCCCATGGTCTCTGTGTGTGTTGTAAAGTAGCCACTGCTCCAAGCTCACTCCCATTAGACAATGTCAAGTTTACATAATTTTATTGTAGTCCATCTTGGGAATGAGCATGGAGCGGTGGCTACTTTACAACACATGGGAGCCATGGGGAATAAAGGCCGCCACCCTCCAGAAGGAAGGACAGTGTCATTATGAATTCAGAAATGACCTGAGATCAACAGCAAAGTGATGCACAAATAAGATAGATTTTAATAGTTAAGGTACTTGAATACATTTTTCAGATTTAACTCCTGAACTGTCACTTTAACATTTGTGCTCCCTACAGTACAACCCTCTAAAATATCTCTTTAAAAAATTGCCCCATTTGATATTTTTCTTAGCAAGCTCTATTAAAAAAAGGGGAAAAAAAGCATTTTAAAGAAAAAAAAAGAGAAAAGGGATGGACAACACAAAAAATGGGTAAGAGCGTGAAAGAAACCAAACCAGCAAGTTTACAAATCATTTTATTCTCTGGCTTGTGAAAGCACCAAAACAAAAGAACTTCTCCTCTAGTGTCCCAGCTAAGTAATCAATGACACTGATCACATTTTCAGATGATTGTAAGGGAGGTATTCTTCCCAATGAACAGCAAACTGATCAGTTTTGGGTGTCAAATACATTAGCCATTAAAAATTGTTTTTTTTTAAAATAACTTTCTGATCGTTAAGACACTATGAACAGTAGAAGACAATTCTTAGCAGGTGCTCCTGTGTAATATTAATTGAAGGTTTCTCCATTTAAAAAGGTTTGAGAAAGGTGGATTTATTGGAACCTTGCACAACATAAAATATACATATAACTCACAGAAGGTTTTTCCACACACAGAAATGATAGTGAGTGATCATTTATGTGTAGACAAACCCTATAGAACAGATGCTGTCTACTCTCTTCATTTGTTACTGCTCAAGTACTAGCTTTTTTCTTTAATATTTTTTTTTAACTATTTCACATAGTTTCACATAGTCACACGGTGCACCTTTTACATAAAGAAAACTTGGGACCAAACATGCTATAAATAGAAGGAATTACACATCTCCAGTGTGATTTCACAAAAACACCCTTAGTAATTTGTGTATGAAAAGTCTGACTGGAGAAATTATTTTTACCTCCTTGTAACCAACTTGTCCTGGTCTGCCCTTGCAACAGGAAAACATGGAGAACCTCACTGGTTCCTGGAAGTTAAATGCCAAATGTTCTACATATTGAAATATTTACCGAAAATGTAATCATCCTCTGCTGATTAAAATGACATCACATCTGTGCGACTTATGTAGCGTAGCAAAATGGTCAAGCTATGTGTTTCGCTTTAGAAGAGCCTTATTCTCCGTTCAACACTATATTGCAATGCACACCATGAGAAGGTTGCTGCCAAGAACACAGAGGTTCCAGGTCACACACGCCAACTCACATACTTTATTACATCTATATGAACAGGTCCCACTAGCCAACAGCCATTAGACAAATACATTTTGCAAACCTGGGCCAATGATCTGCTGCTAAGAACATATGACGTACTGGTTGACAAGCCCTTTATGGAAACCTGTACTGAGATGAATATGGAGGCTACCTTTGCGGGCGTTCTTCTGAAAATACTAGTTGTCTGGTCGTTTTGGCTTAAATACTTTGAGACTTATCTGCACGTTTGATAGGACCCAAGATTTTCAGATGTATGAGACAGCAATGGTAGCCTCAAATACATCTTCAGTATAGGTTTTGGTAAAGCCAAAGCAAAGTACTTATCTGCATGACGACGCCAACAAAATTGACCCATCAGGATTTTCAATTACAATCAGAAAATATTAATCAACTGGAGAGAGAAAAAAAATGAAGACTCCTAGTTTTGCACATGCTGATAATTAGGTTCTGGCATATTCCCATAAGAAGCAAAACAAACAGCATTACATTGTACATTTTCCAACAATGCTGATGGCAGATTAATAGATCCCAAACCCATTGTGTTAAACCTGAAACAAAAGCTCAGGTGCACTGAAACGTCTCTCTAGTGAATGCTGGTGCTTGAAGGGCAGTATGGTGTGAACTCCAAAGCTAAAGTCTGACCTTTTGCTTCAGTGTATCCTCCACAGCAGGTATTATTATACAGGATTTATATAGCGGCAACAGTTTGCGCAGCGCTTTACAATATAAGACATTACAATCACGATACAATTGAAGACAAGATGGTACGGAGGGACCTGCCCCTGAGGGCTTACAATCCATCAAGTCTTAAGGAGCCCACCACAGCAAAGCTTGCATAACCTATGAAGGCTGTCACAATCTGAATATCTCAGTCATTTTGTGCCATGCACACCAAGCTTTAAACATTTTAAAATAATACCCATTATAAATTGTACTGGAAAAATGGAGTCAAGCTGTTTGAACAAGCAGGGTAAAGGGATAGGCTGAAGGTCGTAAATGTATTAATACCTTGAGTAGTGCGGTTACTGAGTAGTGTGGGAGTATACATTAAAGAAAAAAAAGAAGATCCAGCTATAATGTGGACGGCTTCTCATATTAGACCTATCATAACTACAATATACATCTTATGACTGAGAAAGGCTCATACATTACATGGATCTGTAATATGTATGACGAGTCCACATGGGGATCATTAGGCAATCACTTTGTCCAGTATAGAATATAAAGTTCAATATGAGGACTTTTCATTTAGAAAAGATCCCAACATCCAGACCAGGCAGAGTTACGTCTGCACAAATCAGTACGTAGCAAGAGGAAACCCATTTATTTGTATAAATGCACTTAAAGCACGCAATTGGGAACGGAGAGAAGATGGCCAGTACAATTGACTTCAGCTTCCCAGACCAAGTAAGTGTCTAAATGATTATGGAAATAGCCATTAAAAAAAACTAAATTCAAGAAAATACCAAATTTTTGGTCGTCACCAGAACAGGAATAGATTGGAAATATAGGGACACTAGTTCTGGTGACCCTGCTCACCACCAGGGATTTCTTCTCACTTCCTTGTGTGGCTGACAGGAAGTGAAGGGAAATCTCTTCAATGGGACACAGATGATTAAAAAAAAAAAAAAGCTGAAGGCTAAAAACCTCCCCTTACTCTAAAACTCTAATCCAAAAAGTAAAACGGAAGGCAAAACGCAAGTGCCAACTGCAACAGTTATCCATATAAAAACTAAATCCATAAAACATGTCCAAAATAAGTTTTACAAAGAAATATAAAGACTCAGTCGAAAATTGTATTTATACAGTGGTAAACCTTTTCATATAATTCAATATTTGGGGGACATGCATGTCACAGAAGACCCTAAAGATAGCCATACATGGCTCCAATATCTGCTGAATCATGCCAAATTTGCCCTATTGGCTGACAAAACGAATTACGAAGCCGGGTGAAAAATAGTCAGCCTAACAGTGACTACATTCAATCAGATGTTGTCACTGCTCAGGTATTTGGCTGCTTCAATATAATAGCTGTCAGAGAAGATTCCCCCTTCCACACTGTTTAGTGTGAAATCGAGTGATTTCTTGGGTCCCCCCATCAGGAACTAGAAGCATGTATGGCTAGCTTAATTCATACAGTTGTCATGCATACTCACTTTCGATACCCTCGTTTTGTTGTCTTTCCGGTGGCTTTGCAAGTCCCATCGCTGCCATCAGGGTCTTTATTCTCGGTCAGTGTTTTCCAAGGCAGGATAAAGTCGGGAGTTGGACTGAAATGCTTTAATTCCCCTTGCCCCAAGAGACTTCTTTCACCACAGTAACAGAACGCACAAAGTTGTTCACTGCAAAAGAAAAATACATTTTAGGAAAACTTCTCTAAGTATATGTCAGGGCAAAATGCAAATAACAAACATATGCAGGACATCTCTGCTACACACATGCACTTTGCCTCTTGTTTTATTCCTTTGAAGCGATATTAAAGTCAATAGGTGTTTAAGCCATTTCAAATGCTGATGAAATCACTTTTATTGGATGTTGCTCCTTGATGTTTAAGCTTCCTGCAGAATCAGTTGGTCCCCTGAGCACTGGCCCTAATATATCCTGTGTTAGGGTGGCCCCTTTCCTTTGCAGGGTCCTATGGAACTACCCTTGTGTGTACTAGAAAGCTGTTTGTCTCCACAAACACACAAGCCCAGCAAGACAACTCCTCTCGCCTCCTCATTCCTCCCCCAAGCTAGTAGATGGACAGCTGCTGAAGAATGCTCTCTGTTCCTCAAGATCTCTACAGGAAGTTCAGGGAAGCTGAGCTGAGAGAGTTGGAGCCAGCTGTGCTTGGGCAAAAATGTAAATAAATATTTTGCTAGTGGGAGGTGCACCGAAAAGAAAACTTCAAAACCAAAACGAAAAAAATGTCAGGCCGAAACCGAAAATGCTTTTTATTCTGTTTCAAAATTTTTGAAATATGTTCTTATTTATTTTTTATAAACTTTTAAACATTTTTATATTTCATATTGTTTTTACTTTTAGGGGCTTGGGGGAAATATTGGGGGCCTAAACAGACCCCTAATATTTCCCTTTTAAAATAGAAAAAGAGATTGAGGAGACAGAGTCCTCAATCTCTTATACTGCATAAATGAACATGAATTCTCTATACTGAGTGTTCCTAATCATTCATAACATGAGGACAGAGTGTGTTCACTATAACTACAATCATGAATGAACAGGAGGTGATGTAGATCACTTCCCATTCATTCATAATTGAGGATATAGTAAACATACTTTGTCCTCAATTATTTACAAATACTCAGCGATCACTGATCTCTGCTCTGCTACTCTACTCTGGAGGATCGGAGGGGGAAGGGGATCCCTGCTCTCTGCAGGGAGATGATTGGAAAGTGAGCAAGCGACAAATATGCGTTCGCTCACTTCCCGATCTATAGAGCCGACCTCATAAGAGTGGAAATCACTCACCTCGTAGTTCTCCTTTAAGGTACTTTAATGTATTTTTAAGGTTTAACCCCTGAGTTTAGTGTCACTTTAAATCTTGTACTTTCACCCAGTTTAGAACCTTTCTAATTATGCCGGCATTACAATAATACCAGTCTAAGATCTGCCACTATCACACATTAAAGCCGTCATGCAAACTCAGACAAAAATGAATGCCCATTCAAGGCCTACAAACCTGGCCGTACCTAAAAATGGTACAAAATGCACCAGAGACAATGACAGAGAAAGACTTGCAGACTGCTCCAGAAAAATAAAATCATTATAAAAGGCTGTAATTAATTATGACATCCAGTATGTTCATAATTTTAATCCTGCTGAATATCATTTATTTATGAGGAACCCTGGCTGTTCCTTTCTGTTTTAGTTGATTTTTATTCATTGTGAAAAGGGCAGATGTGATAAACTTACTTTTACCCTGTAATTATTTCAATTTCAGATGTCCCTGGTACTGGTTGTGACGACATGGTGAGGAGTTTATAAGTTACCGTATATACTCGAGTATAAGCCGAGATTTTCAGCCCATTTTTTTGGGTGAAAAGTGCCCCCCTCGGCTTATACTCGAGTCAGCGACAGCGCGTCATCTTACTTACCTTGCCGAGCGTCGCGTCACTGCTGCTCCGGTGGGCGGCGCTCCGAGCGGGGTCATCTGGCAGTCTCCGGGTCCTAATTTAGGTGGCCGGAGACTGCCAGATGACCCCGCTCGGAGCGCCGCCCACCGGAGCAGCAGTGACGCG